GAAGCTATTGCTTCCTGTGCGATCTGCCATCATTTCAGGGGGGTGCTCTCTCCCAGCCCCCCTAACCCCCCCTGCGCGGATGGGGGGGGGGGGGGGGGGCATTGAGTTGGGGTTTTGGAGATGCTGTATGTGACCATACTTCACGTTACACTCCAAATGTGGGTGTAACATGACAATGACATACAGTACATCTGTTATCTGTTTATAGGACATTTCTGAACGCATATAAATGAGTGTTTACATGCGTTTGGAAAGCCTAACAATTGTTTCATACTTCCCAGATAATTTCTCCATGGGTTAAAAAAGCCAAGCACAAGAGGCCAGTGTGAATGTAGCCCTAAAGTGAATCTGTGCTTTGCCCATGCAGGTTAAAGCAACATCCATTTACCTTCATTTTGCCACTCAGTTCAGATGAAAGGCCTAAAAGCAAATCCCTGTGTAAGCCATGAATCACTGGAGTCATAGCTTGCACAGGGCTATACATTTCTGTGTGCCGGTGCCGACTGCCCCAGCACGGTTACATGCTCCTCCATATCGGTTAGCTCCTTGGGCTCCTAACACTGAAGAAAACAGCACTGGAGCAAAGGAAGGGTATGTGCTGCTGGGGATTGGGGTGTTAAAGTAGATATGTTGCTAGGTCATGAATGAGCAAAATAAAAGGGGGGGGGAAATTTAACAAAACTGGAGCAAACAGAATCTGGAGCAGTTGCCCATGGCAACCAATCAGCAACTCTCTTCAGTTTGCTTAGGTAAGATTTGAAAATGAAAGAGAGGCTGATTGGCTGCAGTGCAAATCTGCTCCAGATTTTGATAAATGTCCCTCAGGTTCTCTTTAATCTAGGCACCATGATTGAATACACAAGTTAGAAAAGGAAAAACAAGGCACCTTCGGTTTATTTGGATGCGCTTTGGGGCTTGTTGGTAGTTTTCCATCACCGAAGATGTCATTGCTCTTTCCTCCTTGCGGGTTCTGCTTTCCTGCTGCTTGCACAGGTTTGCGATCCTGGAATATACCACTTGTCTTTCCACCTATGGAAGAAGAAACCAAAAAATAGATTAGCCAGGATACTGGTTCTTGCCTGTCTCCTGCAATACAGAACCAGTTCTGTGCAATGCTGGACAGGATTCAGTAGCCAACCCTGCTTGAGAACGGTGCCTGCATACTGAAATCACATGTAGAGTTACAGCCTTAGTAGCCAGGCCTATCCCATCCTTAAACTCCCTACTGCTCTGCAACATATGCTTGGCTTCTGGGTAACGGGAGGATTTATTACTTCCACTGGACACAGGTCACGGCTGTCAGGAAAAACACAACACCCGGTGTGAGTGTGCGCGAGAGAACCGAACCTGCACACATTCCAGGCGCTGCAATGCAGATGCTGAAAAACTGACTGCGTGTAACGGCTCCCATGATATTTGCACATCTGGCTACTTCCTGGAGTCTTGTATGCGTTACACCCACCACACATATGTACGCTGGCAAAGAAGATCCCAGTGGGACGGCCCAAATGGTGAAAGCTTCTGCAAGAAACTTTGTAACCCACAGAACAATAAAGATAATTACTTCCATTACTAAACATGCGCTTCTAAAATAACAAATGGGGTCTGACTGGTGGCTGAGAGGCGGCCGCAAAAGGAGGTGAAAGTAACGTGTTAGCTTACAAGCCACTGACCAAGGACCACATTTAAACGCACTCACTCCGCTTAAAGCAGAACTCCGGGCAGTGGGGGCTACCCCCGCACTAAGGGTTAAGTGCTGTTTGTCCAAGTTAATTAAACAAATTATATATATATATATATATATATATATACACATACACAAGACACTGTCTTATATTTTATTTGGCTCAAAAAAAAGTATTTTCTTTTTTAATGCACAACAATCCACACTTATTCATGTTAAAAAAATATGGTAATCAGGGGTGGCATACCTTTCCAAGAGCAAATTGTTAACCAAATCGCTGGCCAGTATGAGCGAAGCGCGCTTTCATTATCGATTCCTCACAGGCACTAGTGCCTTTGGTATCACTCCGCCTGTGACAGGAGGCATCGGCTTATGCAGCTCTGCTCCCTCCGATGCCACCTCGCTTCCTCTAGCGCTGGCTTTGTTGGCACCGCTGATTCTCTCCTGCCTTTCTTCAAGTTCCCCCTTATGCCACCACCGGCCCTGGGAATGGTCACAGCTAGGTCTTATATTTTAGCAATTCCCAAAAATAGTACTAGGTCTTATTTTCGGGGGAACACGACACTGACACACACACACACACACACACACACACACACACACACAATCTTCGGAGCCTCTCTCCCCCTCCATTGCAGCAGTCTAGGGTCCCGTAAATCATCATGTTCTATACACACAGTGTATAGACATGAGGACGCCAAGGAGCATTTCAAAGGCTGCAGAGACGCTTCAGTGACTGGAGAAGCAGGCAGCTCGCAGGATTTGGTGAGTATAACTTTTTTTTCTCTCTCCAAAGCACCTAGACAAAAACAAGCACTTAACCCTTGCAGTGTGAGCATAGCCCCACTGTAAGGGTTAAGGACACTTGTCTGAAGCTATTCTTTAATAAAGCAATCAGAACAAAAACATTGCCTGGGGTTTCTTCTGATGTACTGATGTGTCTTCTTCCACCAACTCCATATCTGCACATTTTAATCTGTGCATTAGGGATGCACCGATTCTGGTTTTTCAGCATCGAGTACCGATATTTTTTTCCAGTACTCGCCGATACCGATACTGGAAGTCCCATTAAGGAAGCCAGGTGGCGTGTAATGACTCGCCACCCGGCTTCCCGATTAGCCTGGAAGCCGTCTCCATGCTCCCTCCTCACCAGGTGTCTGTAATGACTCGCCACCCGGCTTCCCGATAACAGAAGGTTGTGTATCGGGCTAGGTATCGGAGCATATAGGTGAGTATGAATACTCCCCCAAATACTCGATATCGGTACCGGTACTAGTATTGGTATCTGTGCATCCCTACTGTGCATGAAAGTGTTTCTCCAGATAAAGCAGGTTTTTTTTTCTTTTAAGTTTTGGATGGGGTTGGGTTTTAATTGCCATCTGGGGCTCCGTGAGATGGATTTCTGCTCATTTCCTGTTCTGGTGATAATGGTTTACTAGACAGGAAGGGAGGTAAAAAGTCCAGCAGCAACAAAGGCAGAAAAAAAAATGCACTTTTTAGTCGAGTAGGGAAAGGTCAGTGTCTGTGAAACTGTTGTCACTGAAAAAGTGAGGGGAAATCTCTCTAATGGAGCCCCAGATGGCAATAAAATCCTGACAGGGGTTCTAACAGCATCAGCAGGGCTATATTTTAAAAGCTCCCTATGTTCTACCCATGTAACCCAACCCATCTCTAAAGGAGTCCCAGATAGCAGGTGAAATCCTTCCCCATTAAAACAAAAAACTAAAGAAGTTTTGGCTGCACTCACAATTTAATAGTAATCCTCCAGGTCATACGATATAATCATCAATCCAATAGCTTTAACTGTACTTTGTTGCCTACCAGACATGAGGAGCAATGACTCCAATAAGACAGCTCCCCTCTATGGACTCTGAGAATAATCCAATAAGTATGAAATGATATGAAAGCAGTGGCACACTGCACAGATACTACTCCCCTTTATAGGTTTTTGTGTCATCTGCATCCTTACTAGACAATGACATAGCAGTGATCATACAGACCCAGGTTCAGTAAAAGGTGATAAAGAAGACTAATGATGGGATACAGTGTTCTTTCATAGAATTCATTTATGTACTAGGTTCACTTACTGTTACTACCATCACTGATACTACCACCATCGGCACTGCTGCCGCCGCCGCCATCGGCACTGATACTGCTGCCGCTACTACCACCGTTACTGCTGCAGCTAGTGTTATGGTTACTGTTGCTGCTACCACTTCTGCTACTATTAGAAATCCCAGCATGCATTGAAGTATTAAATGTTTCATTGTAAAAAAAGGATTTTTTTTAATACAAAAAATCAGTTTCTATACATTTGTAAAATTACATTTTAAAAAAGAAGCCTGACCCAAAAGTACTATAAATTTGACTATAAATTGTATACAATGATTGCAGAGTTAACAATCTATACACTGGCACAGACTGGAATTCTTCCTCTGGCAGAAGACCTGAATATTTATTTTTCACTGATGGAATGTTAGTATTTGTAAGAAGTCAGGAAGGTGGTTTCACATTTTTCACACTATCCATAGCGGATAACAGTATACACAGACAGGATGCAGCTTTCCTGTCCATACATCTGGACATAGGCCAGGAAGGATTCTCACTCTCGGAGAGATGTCACTTGCTGATACCAGGCATCTCCAGGAAGGGCTCCAGTGCCAGCTCAGCACAATCTCCAGCCTTCCTTCACTCACCAGAAACCTCCTGTGCCCGATTCCAGTCCTCCTACCCAGCGTGTTATCCCCATGCCATGTATATAATCCTGATTACATAGCTATCCCACAATGTGCAGTGGTAGATGTCTTTTTACTTATATTAGACAGAAATGTGATCAAGTTAAAAGGAGAACTATGAGGTGAGTGCTTTTCACTCACCTCATAGTTCTAGCCGACCTGTGACAATGAGACTGTCACAGGTCGGCTCAGTAGATCGGGAGGTGAGCGAACACATACCGGCGTTCGCTCAACTCTCGATCCTGTCACAGCTCTCTGCTGTGACAGGGGAGGGGTTGGATTCCCCCCTCCGATCCTCCAGCGCTGACTGGCGGAACGGACGGGGAGGGTACAGCTGGCTCTGCCTTTAAATAGGCAGAGCCAGCTGTCAGTCACGCAGCTGGGCGGATCCCGGCACAATTGTCGGGAACCGCTTCAGCTGCGGCGTCTCAGTATACCCCGAGCAGCTGCTCGCGGTATACTGCGGCGTCTCAGTATAGCGCGAGCTACAGCTCGCGGTATACTGAGCCTAGGGTGACGGGAGGACGCTAGTTTGTGCCCTCCCGTTACCCTAAGGAGAACTATGGGGAAAAGACTTAACCCCATAGTTCTCCTTTAAAGTAAATCTGTCATGACCGACACATGGGGGCTGCCACAGTCTCCTTCTGAACAGGCCAGCGGACAGACATGCTGAGGCTGGAATAGATTTGAGGTCGATGCCTCAGAACGAGGACAGAGATGAGGAATTCCAGCTTTCTCTGACTTGAACTTCCTTTCTATCTGCTGCATATCATTGTATACGACACCAAACCCAGCAGACTTTTCTCCAACTCACCATCCTGCTTCATCTGTAGTTGTGGAGTACAAAGTCCAAAGCTGCATAAATATCAAATGTCACAACCCAAGCAAAGTTCTTTTGTTGGCTAGACAAATCCGCCAGTATTTCTGCCACCATGTATTTATCTAAAGAACTCGCATACATATATTTTATACATACACCGTTTCATTCTTTGACTTCTTAAAACCATTGTTAAGCTCGCCACACACTGCTAGAATTTCAGCCGTCTCCTGCTAAATCATCCGAAATTCAAACTGTGGGTGGCCCTGCCGGCACATAAAAATCAATTCTTTAAATTGAAGGAGTCGGGTGGAAAATAGTTAGCTGAACAGTGACTGGAGCCAATCAGCTGCAGTCATTGTAGGAGTATTCATACAATAGCCGGGCAGGAGAGACTAATCTATCTGTGCGGTTTAGCGTGGATGGTGGAATCTGTTCGATTTCTTCCATTCAGCCAACAGACTGAAGTCTATGCGTGTAAGGCCAGCTCAATTCTTATGTACACTAAAAGGAGAACTATGGACGCGAGTGATTTGCACTCATCCTCATAGTTAGAGCTGACCTGTGACAATGAAACGGTCACGTCGGCTCTATAGATCGGGAAGTGAGCGAACACGTACCGTCGCTCGCTCACTTCTCGATCATCTTCCTGCAGAGAGCTGTGACTGTCAGTCACCGCTCCCCACAGGGATCCCCCCCCCTCTGAGTGGAGGGAGGAGGGGGCGGGCACAGCTGGCTCTGCTTCTAGATAGGCAGGGCCAGCTGTCAATCAGCTAGCTGGGTGGATCTTGACTGTATTGTCGGGATCCGTCCTGACTGCGGCGCCCTCAGTATGTAGCGAGCTGTAGCTGACTATATACTAGGGATGCACAGATACTTTTCGAGTACCAGTGCAGATACTTGGCATTTTCATGACAACTACCAGGGTTGCAGCGTTTGCAGCTGGGACCTGGCTCTGGCGCTCCTCCACTGTCCTGAAATCATTAGTCTGTATTGTTTTAGAAAAACTGTCACATGACAATAAACAAAAATGTATCAGTACTTGTAAGTACTCGGCAAGTACCAGTACTCGTACTCGCAAAACTGGTATCTGTGCATCTCTTTATTTATATTTATAAAAACTAAATTGTACATTAAAACAGTGATGTACAAATCCCAGGAGCTCCGTGTGCTCCTTACAAATGACAGCTGCCTCCTAACTTTTGAATTTTTCTCTAGTGTAGTCTTGGAGCTCAAAAGTATCGGTACATGTACTCGTACTTGTACCGAGTACTGTACTTGGTATCTGTGCAACCCTACTATATACTGAGCTTTGGGTCACGGGAGGACGTTAGTATATGTCCTTCCGTGACCCTTAAGTATGGGATAAACAGGTTACCCCATAGTGCTCTATTAATGCTGGTACACACCCACAGAGTCTCCACCGACTGCTACTTACAAGCAAAATTTCATTAGCCAACTGTCTATAGATGATGAGCTCTCAAAGTAAAAGCAGCAAGCAGGTCTGCGAATACTCCTTGCATAGCTGGGGCTTACCGTGACCTTTCTCCCTAAGCTTCTGTACAGATTTGGTCAAATAAAGGGGAGTTTTTCAGGGAAATTTCCAACACAGTGGAAAATCTGTCTATGATTATTTATATACATGCCAGTTCTTGCACCCCGACAAACCTAACTGATCTAGGGAGGGAGCCAGCCAGACGTTTTTCTGGAGCCAAAGAACATGGCGCCTGTATGGATAAGATCAGAAAAGACAATAACCACTGGGCGCTAGCTGTAATATTTAGATTTTGCTCTAGAGATCTGACTAACTCTGGAGGTGTAAACGTATTAGGATCTTATCAAAACTTTAGTGCCAGCCAAAATACTTTTTTTTTCCGTGACGTGGGGACCCATTTATACCAGCTCTGTCTGCTGCAGCTTGTAATGGGCTGCTTAATGGACCACAATAGACCAAAAATTGTGCATGCAGCATTTTCGGCAGCCCATTTTCGTTTTTTATTTATATAGCGCCGACAATTTTCTCAGCGCTTTCCAAACAGATCAGTCCCTGCCCTCAAAGAGCTTACAATCTAAGGTCCCTATCTTACATACATAAAGGGCCAATTTAGACAGGAGACAAATTTACCTTCCAGCATGTCTTTGGCGTGTGGGAAGAAACCGGAGTACCCGGAGGAAACCCACACAAGCACAGGGAGAACATGCAAACTCCTTGCAAATAGTGTCCTCAGGATTCAAACTGGGGAACAGTGGTACAAGGTAGAAGTGTTAACCACTAAGCCACTGTGTTGTATAGTATTTCATTGTGCTGCAGTGCAGGTGTGCTAGAAAGGTGTGCCAGGGTGCAATTCAGAATGAATGGCGCCACAACCACATGTGTGACTTTGCATTATGGCAACATGCGCATTAGTGTGAATGGGCCCTCAGTGAAGGAAAGTCTCTCTGATGGACCCCTGGATAGCAGTAAAAACTCAACATATGCTCCAATCATTCCCTACTCCACCTAAAATGAGGTTATGTTATTACTCTTAAAATAAACTTACAATGGAAAAAACCCCAAAACAAAAAGTATTCTGGCAACCTGACTTTTTGCTTTCACATTAGCCTTTTGTATTCATTGGTCATTCGAGAAGCCTAGGGATCGTACCTAACAGAAATCCGGTCTCACATTACATACATATTCATAGTATGGAGCTCAGAATCCAGACTAGTCAAGTCATGCCTCTGTACAAATATGTCACCATTGTCTGTTGTGTCATGGAAATCACTCACTTCTGCAATTTGTTAGTGAATACAGAAAGAGAGACATGGGTGTGTCATGTGTCAATCATTTCTATTCAAGGAGCTAAAAAAAAAAAAAAAAAGGAAGCATGCTGTCTGTATGGCTGTTAGACAATGGATAAGTCTGTGCTCCTTAACAAAGTTGGGGGGAGCAACAGGGAAAATAGATTAGTCTGTGGCTAATCCCATTATAAAATGACTGATATCAACGATCTCTTCACCCACTAAACACAAACCTGGAGGGTTGGACCTCTTTGGCATGTTTTCAGGTTCTTTAGCGGACCCGAAGATATTGGAGTCCATCCTGTGCTGTCGGGTTGAAATGGACTGTTCTTCAGAAGTGCCAAAAATGTAGCTTGATCCACCTCCCGGAGGCTTCAATACTCTGAAAGAGGAAGAGACAAACACTACGTAAGTATAAAGCACTTCCTGTAACTCTTAAGGCACGCACATGGACACAAACACGTGATTTTATAAAGATTCTGCGGGGACACAAATCTGCTTACTGCCGAGTTCTTTTTGTGATCCTTATCCTTGCCTCAGAACTCGGGCAGTCACTGAACTGAAACCTATATGTAGGCATTAGTCAGGACTCCAGACCCGCACACGTGGATCCAGGTCATTGACTCAGTAAATAAGGAAACAAGATTTAGAATGACAGACCTGGGGTTCTGCACCTCCAAAAATGGGTTGCAATGGCAGCCTGCATATTTCTACCCTCACTGTCTGCCTTTAAAAAGTGACTGGTAGGAAAAAAAAAAGCCGGTAAAGAAATCTATCCCGCCACACACACTGCCAATCATCACCCTGGTGTACAGCAACGCTTGCTAAAATATCTTTACCATCTGACACTTCTGGGAATGTTGCCCTTCGTGGTATGCGATTACATTGCTGTGGCTCCTTCCATGAAGCCTGGTCCCCCTCTGCACGCTGTGGTCCCATTCATAAGAGATTCAGTCCCCCTCTGCATGCTGTGGTCCCATTCATAAGAGATTTAGTCCCCCTTTGCATGCGGAGGTTCCATCCATGAGACCTGCTCCCTCTGCATGCGGAGGTTCCATCCATGAGACATGCAGCCCCTCTGAATGCGGAGGTTCCATCCATGAGACCTGCACCCCCTCTGAATGCGGAGGTTCCATCCATGAGACCTGCACCCCCTCTGCATGCGGAGGTTCCATCCATAAGGCCTCTGCACCTACAATCACAATAGGACACAGTAGCAGCATAGGGATAAACAGATGGAACCACAGAGGGGAACCAGGTATCCTAAAAACCAGGCAGTATGTTGGTTGCATTAGATTTCTCAGCCACTGTAGCTCTGAAACAAAGTGAAGAATGGCAGCACGGGAAGGCTTCTTTAGAGGCGGAGCTTTTATTTATAAATTGTAGGTAATTCACATGCTTGATTGACCAATAAAGCCATGCACCAGGACATGTCATTGCGGTGTGGCTTAACCCCCCACCCTCAACCAATGCTGCGGTAATACAAAGAAAAGTGATCATGTGTCTTAACATTGAATAAAAAGAAGGTGTTTATTCTTTTTTTCAAGCTTTTCATCTCCAATTTAATTCCCGGTGCTGTGCCCGCTTGTTTACACATGGGAATATCCCATGAAAGTACCTTTCCCCACCATCCATAAACACACACTGCAAGCCCGATTTTTAACCCCCAGCAGGAAACTCAATATTAATGGCAGGTTTCAGGAACTACAATTTCTCTAGATGAACTGAACTATACATTTCATGATAAAACAGGAGTGAACTAAAAGGGCGTTTCTTTTTGCGCAGGATAACATAAAAGGTTTCTATGAGATCATCCAGTATTGGAGCTCAGAATATACAGCACTGAGAGATGCCGTATGAGCGAGCTCAGCAGAGAGGGCTCTTCGGTCAGTCTAGATAACATTGACCTCCAGTGCGACTGCACAATGATGAGTTGGCAGTCATTGCACAGTCTAAAAGTACCCAGAGATAATAAAATTAGAAGGCAGCATGGAATCTCTGCCAGCGGAGATCAGCTGATAGTCTATGGAGGGGGGGGGGGAAGGGGAAAAGTGCAGCTCCTCC